CCCTACAAGGTAGGTATTATTATTGTCCCCATTTTATGGCTAAGGAATTTGAGCTTTAGAAAATTGTAAGTAATTTATTCAAGCTCCCACAGTCTATTCGTTTGCTACGGTTGCCATAGCTAACTCACAGACTGGGTGGCTCAAACAACAGAAATTTATTTTCTCAATTCTGGAAGCTAGACATCCATGATAAAGGTTTCTACAGTGTAGGTTTCTTCTAAGGCTTTTCTTCTCAGATTGTAGATGGCTGTCTTCTTCCCTGTCTTCCCATGCATTGTCCTCTCTCTGTGTCTATGTGCTAATGTCTCCTTACAAGGACACTAGTGATACTGGATGAAGAAGGCCTACTCATATGACCTATTTTTACTTTAATTATTTCTTTAAAGTTCCGACCTCCAAATACAGTCACATTCTTAGCACCTGGGGGGGGGGTGGATAAAACATATGACTGGGGGGGGATACAATTCAGCCCATAACACCCAGTTCATAAGAGGCAAGTCAGATCTAGGTAACTAAAAATTTATTTTTATCTACTAGACTATTATATTCTTCAAGTTTCCTAGTAGTAATTACCATCCCACACACGTTTCTAAAAATTTATTTTTACTTTTTTCTCTTTATTTAGTTGTTATTTTTTATGGTAGAGTGAGAATTACTGAGATATATTTTGAAGATATAACTTTTTATAGTCAGATACAAAGTAAGCATAACCAAAATAGTATTAAAACATATCATCAATAACCAGAAGATACTATTTAACAAATGTGTGCTGAATGAAAATTTTCTTAGGCCGTTTTTAAATTTTTTTTTTTATGTTTTATTTATTTCTAGGAGAGAGACAGACAGCGTGAGCAGGGGAGGGTCAGAGAGAGAGGGAGTCACAGACTGAAACAGGCTCCAGGCTCCGAGCTGGCAGTCAGCACAGAGCCCGACGCGGGGCTCGAACCCACGAACCGCGAGATCATGACCTAAGCGAAAGTCGGACGCTTAACCGACTAAGCCACCCAGGCGCCCCTCTTAGGCCGTTTTTAAACAAAGCAAGAAAACAAAGGAAAATAACATATTTGACTATTTATTCTTAAAAAAGAAAATGAAAGAATTTTAGAAAATGCCCAACAGAAAGCTACAGTGTTTAAAAATTTGAATTTAGGGGTGCCTGGGTGGCTCAGTCGGTCAAGCATCTGACTTCGGCCCAGGTCATGATCTCGCGGTTTGTGGTTTCAAGCCCCATGTCGGGCTCTGTGCTGACAACTAGCTCAGAGCCTGGAGCCTGCTTCGCATTCTTTGTCTCCCTCTCTCTCTGACCCTCCCCTGCTCACGCTGTCTCTTTCTCAGAAATAAATAAAACATTAAAAAAAAGGATTTAAATTTTTAAAAAAATTGAATTCAATGTACTTAACACATAAAGAGCTATCTTATAGTCATAAGAGAAACCAAATCGTCTGTAGATAACTGGAAAAAAGATATGAATAAACTGCAAATATGAAAAGCAAGGACATGGAAAAATTGTTGAGGCTCACATAGCATAAAAATGCAAAGTATTAGTATTCTACAGGACAATTGGCCTGGTCTCTTCAAGTTATTGTTATAAGAAAAAAAGAATACGATTGGCACTGTTCTAGATTAAAAGAGACTTTAGAAGTGTAACAACCAAATGCAGTGTTTGGTATTTGGATGCTGCTTTAACTAAGCCAGCAAGAAAAAGCCGTTTGAGAGCAGGAGGGTATGGAGATATGAACTGAGTATTAGATTATTTATTAGATGTGGTGATGGTATTGTAGCTGTGATTTTTAAAAAGTTCCTTTAAAACATGCCTGCGATAGTACTTAAGGGTGAAATGTCATGATATTTGGAATTTGCTTTGAAATACTTCAGCCAAAATAATCAAATGAAGCAAATATGGCACAATACAGACAGTTGTTAAATCTAGGTAATCTATGTAGAGGTGTCCATTATATTCTTTTCTCTAGTTTTTTGTGCACTTAAAATTGTTATACTACACTGAAGATACATTAAGGAAAAAATGATGAAAAAAAGGATGAATTTGTCAAAATAACTGTAACTAGAGAGAAGAACCAACTGCCAATCAAGACTTCATATCCTGGAAAGTGAACATTTTAGATAGTATTACTGATTATAATGTGATATTCCTAAGATTTATTTACATTTTTTAACATGTCATAATGACAGGAAAATTGATTAATCAAGCTAGACATAAAAGATACATAATTTCTCAGAAAGTCTACATATTTCAAAAAGTAAAGTGTGTGAAAAATGGATTTAGGATGCCCAAGATTAAACAGATAGGTCTTTAAAGTAGAAAAGGACTCTTCCTAATGACTAGTTTAGGTTTGTATCCCATTGGGCTGAGTAACTAGTTCCCATGCCTGGATAAGAATCATTTAGTTCATACATAAGATCATGCAAACCTCAAATGGCTGAAACCATCTAGAAATAAGTATGATTTTATTTTCTTTATTTGGGTTCTGAGAAGGTATAGAAGTAGTATCTAAAAAAATTTCTGAAATCCCAGGATATATACAATATATAGGGAGAAATAGCAGGAGCAGAAGAAAAATGGAGAGGAAGAGAGAGGATGAGGAAAAGAAAGGGGGAAAAGAAGGATAAAAAATTTTAACAGTCGTATTTGCAGAATGTAAGTGTGAGTTTATTGCTTGGACTTATAATCGTTAAGATATTTTTTGTGTGCCTTCCGTGGGCATAGCAGCAATATTCATATTGGTGTGGCATCATAAATTTGTTCAATTTTTGGGAAATGAAATAGTAGCAGATTTTCAGAAGACCTGCAGAGCCTGACCGACGGGGAAGAAAGAGAAAAGGTAACAGCATGGCTACTGATGGGGTAAGATGGGAACGGGAAGGAATTACAAGTCCAGAGAGGAAGGAAGGAACCAGCTGAAAAACCTGGTGAAGGATTGTGATTAAGGCAAAGGGACCCGGAGTGTCTCAAGGTCTCAAGGACTTTATGTAAGATGTGTTCTGTGGAAGAATGGAAGTGGGGAAGAGATGAAGAGAAGTATTAAGTGGAGCAAGAGAGATGAGCAGAGTAGCTGCCACAGAGGTGACTAGAGAGGGGCCTAAGAAAGGAGGTTTCTGAAAAAGGGTGATTTGGGGAGAAATTTATTTGCTTTCTTTTGCTTTTGTTTATAATGGTAACATCAAGAATTGGGGATAATGGGCTAAATCTGTGATACTGTATAATCTTTATATCATTTGGTAACTATAGATATGTAACTGACATGAATTCTTCCACAAATTTAGAGTGTGTGTGGAGGGTAGGGAGACTGCTGTTTCCCAGTGTCTTATTAAGGACAACAACCTCTCTCTCCCGGGAATTATCCAAAAATAGGGCTGGGGGGAGGGGCATTCCCTTCTCCAGGAATCCACTTGAAAGACTGGGCAGCCTTTCCTATCCACCCTTGAAACACATAGGGTCAGTGCATCTCTGCCTTTATATGTCATCTTGGTATTCCAAAGCACTTTACTAAAGTAGCTTGTTTTTCCCCACAGTGATTTCCGAGAGCCCTATACTCATCTTTCTAAGGTTCCAAAATGATCCGCTCGTATCATTTATTGGAGAAGAAAATCTGCAAAGTAATCTTGTTACTTTCAGAATCAGGGAATTATGCGTGAGTGTAGGTCTGTAATCACAGAATTTAGGAGCAAAAACTAAATTCCATTGACTTCTTATATCTAGAAAGAATTGTATGCTGTGTAGACAAATAGAAGTTTATAAGTAAAGTCATGCAAGCAGTTATTTACTTTTTCACTTCCTCTGTATATAAGAATGAGGAATGAGCAAAGAAGGAAGGAGAACATAAATTGAGCATGTACTACGACCGGTCATTTTGTTAGACTTTTTCATATATTTGTATTTATGTTAGGGAGGTAGCTATTACTATCTCCATGGTACAGATGAGAAAATTAAGTCGCAGAGAGTTTAAGAAATTTATTCCAGATTGTGCAGCTAGAAAGTATCTTGGAAACTATCACAATTTATGTGAAATGTCCTAGAATATCCTTGTGCGGCACCTTGAAATAGAGATTTTCATTTGCTACGCTAAGAGAGGAAAAAGTTTTCCTTAACCTTCTTAGAGTCCCTGGCAGGATCTGAAAATTGAACTGACAAAGACAGAATAACAGGAGAAAAACATACAAATTATATTGAATTCTTACATGTAAGTGGGCACCTTCACAGGAGAATGAAGACTTGAAGTGACCAGAACAGGAAGCTTTTATACATTTAGACAAAGACACAATAAATTTGTGAAGAATTGACAAAAGACAGAGGGCTTTGAACTAGTAGTAGAAACTGGTGAAGAAATGGCTACAAAGACACGGGTTAGTTTAATAAGGTTTGTTTATACTACATTTTACTTCAAAGCATAAACTCCTAACCACACCTATCTTTTACGCACACAGCTTAACTGGAATATTACCCTGAAGGTAAATTCTAATTTGAATGGATCTAGATTGTTTGTAATGAAACCTGTTATTTTGCATAAATTAACCTTATTGAGATCCTCAAAGGTTAGGAAATTATCCTAAAGGAACAAAATTGTTTACAGTAGGGCCATCTAAAGAGAATGTGTGTAAATAGATTAAATTAGCCTATGTTTGCTTGCGTTAAGTACTTGAACTCAAAAGGAAACTTGGTTTAAAAAGGTCATTCTAAAAATAGTGCATATAGCATCACTGTTCTAAAAACAGACAAAAAGGTGAGGGAGGGGTTGTATCATTTCTGCACCTTTTAAGGTAAAGGAGGAGGGAATTTGCTTTTAACTCATTAGCCAATCAGGCTTTCAGGCCACTTCTCAAAGCCACTTCCTGTCTCTCCACTTAGTCTCTCCCTTTTGGTGGTGGGCTGGTGAGTATGCACTTAATTTTGCTCCCTAATTGTTCTGAATTTCTCTTCCATTACAGCCCTATATCCTGATAGCAGGCCTTTCCCCCCCCCCCCCAAACAAATATTAGAGTGTGTGAGTCACAGGCAATTAATTTTGGCTGTGTGGAGATTGGGGGAGGGCAGTGAAATGCTCTGCCTGGCTTATGTCCACGTGGGCCTCTGCAGTGCTGGGTCTGCCCTCCCTGAGACCTGGTGACCCAGAAACAATGGACTTTGCTTCATGTACAGAGTGCCTGTGTTCCTGAAAAATACCTGGATTCATTTTGTTTGGAGGGAAAGGTACTGTTATTATCCCGATGCTGTTTTGACTTAGATCTCCCTGGGTGAGAGGGTAGACCTTGGGAGGAGGTTCAGACTAGTACATTTTAATTCTCTCGTGTCTGTAGGGCCCAGGTCCTCACTGGGTTTGTGGGAACTGTAGCAAATGTTGTCTTTGCCCTGGTCTTTGCTCAGAGCATTATGGCTTTCTTAGTGAGCCTAGGCAGCAAGCTCTGAAGTTAGGTGATTTTAATGAGCCCTCAGAGGAGCTCCCAATTTTAATGTCGCCACTGTAGTGAGGGTGCCCTAAAAAGCCTAAGACCTACTAAAGAAAAAGTCAGGGGCCTTAGCTCAGGAAAAGCCCAAATCAAATTCTAGCACTAAAGTTTGCTCCTCCAGTGACCTTGGGTAGTTCAGTGGACCACTATGAGGCCCTGCTTTTGAAAATCAAAATATACAAAGGCCCGGCATTATAATAAATGTTGGACACCTTCTAGAAGTAAGCAAAAAAATTATTTTGTATATCTTTTTTCTTATAAAAAGTTTTGCCTAGTTACCTTGAGTGTAAATAGATTCCCATTATTTTCTCCTTGATATACATTAGTTTGAATATAATGTATGTGTTCATTCTTACAGGCAGAAGTATGAAAGAAATAAACTAGTGGATGGAATGTAGTAATAGAATGTTGTAGACATCTCATAATACTTATAATTCTCAAGCTTTATTGTTAAGTTACTGTTATTTTTTGGAAAGTAATATAGTCACATGGTTCAATTAAAAGGATCAAAGTATATCATGAAGTCTCCTATGCCACCTAATTCCTCTCCCCAATAACAGCATTTATTTGTATATCCTTTCTGAGATATTTTTTGTAAGTTTAGGCAGATAGATGTATTTTACCCTCCCCTCTTACATACTCTCTTTCCCACTTCAGATTTCCAAACGAATAAAGAATATCCACATTCTTTATGACGTTAGTTACATACTAATCTAATGTATGTGCATACCATAATTTATTTAACCTTTATTGGTCAACATTTAGGTAGTTTACAGTCCTATTGTTTCCCCCAAAACGAATAACCTTGTATATGTCAGTTGTCATATGCCACAGTTCAGCTGGGTTTTGATACATTGTTTATAAGGACTCTAAACATGCAGTGCTTCCTGTTACTTATATTTATTTATTTATTTTTTAAAAATATTTTTATTTATTTCTAGGAGAGAGAGAGAGACAGCGTGAGCAGGGGAGGGTCAGAGAGAGAGGGAGTCACAGACTCTGAAACAGGCTCCAGGCTCTGAGCTGGCAGTCAGCACAGAGCCCGACGCGGGGCTCGAACCCACTAACCGCGAGATAACGACCTAAGTGAAAGTCGGACGCTTAACCGACTAAGCCACCCAGGCGCCCCACTTATATTTATTTTGTACAGAGTGAGAACCAGAAACCAGCCAACACCATTAATGTCTTGATTGAGCAATAAAGGATTTTCTGTCAAAAACAAAACCACACTGATGGCTTTAATGTGAATGGATCTTTGCCCACTTCAGTTAAAGTAAGGAATGGTTTATTTTGCTGCGAACACATATTTAACTTTGAGAAGGAATGGCAGCAAGAGCCAGAGAAACCACGTGGTTTTGTTTTCATGAGGGCAGAAGGAGCATGTTTTCAGTGTTTAGTTAGCAAAATGCATACTGGATATCTTCCTGAAATAGTGGTATGAGTGAATAAACTCATGTTTTACCATTAAGTTAGGGAAGACAGAAATGTTTTTGGGGGATGAAAATATGCAAAACAAAAGCTTCTGGGAATTCCCCCGGAGCTTTTTTTTCCCCCCCCAAGTCTTAAAACGCTAAGGTCACGTCTTGTGAAACGTGTAGTTTTCCAGTTAGGAGAGTCTTGGATTTGGAAGCAGCCTTATTAGTGATGTGGGTGACTTTCCAGGCTTCACGATTATTATGAAAAGTGGAATTTTTAGGGAGAATATCCCCATTCCTACTCATTAGCTGGTTGAGCTTGGACACCTGATAATAGAAACAACATGTTAAACAATTGAGCTTCATGTCAGCTACTGTGCAACTTGGGTTGGTTACCCAACCAACAGGTGTGTGGTATTTGTTCTCATTTCACAGAAAGGGAAACTGAGGCTTAGAGAAGTTGCAAATAGGTGGGGGAGTCAAGCTCCAAGTCCAGTTTTGTCTGACTTCAAAATCCATTATGTTAACCATTAAGGTACCTGCCATTTAGTCTCCAAACCGTGCTTGCAGACCTATAAGGTGGAGATGACCTAGTATTTGTGAAATGAGGAAATATTATATAGAAAGGGATTTATAAACTTGGAGATAAAGTATTATGAAGTAGATAAAATATCAAGTTAACAGAGAAGATTTACTGCCTCTTATATTCTGATTTCAAGTTATTTCCTGCTGTTGTGATCCAAAGCCCTCAGGTATTATATTTTCATTTGTGACCCAGGTGAAAATAGTGTCTCTTGGTATGAGCTGCATGGTTAGTCTGTTTCTCAGCTCCTCACTTTTATTTTATATATGCTCTGAGTGGATTCTACCTGAGCTGAGGCTAAAACAATTGGCATTTTGGTAAAATACCTTACAGTGAGTGAGAAACAAAACTTGGAATCTTTTCTGATAGCAGTGCTTTATAGAGCTATCTCTAAAAGAAAACTAGCCAAGTGACAGTTTAGCATTTAATTCCTATATAGAATTTTGTATTTTCCTTTTCTTCAGGTTGAAAATGGAGTCCATGGATGAAAGAAGGCCTGGGTCTTCAAAATCCTATGTGCCAGCCCAAAAGTGGCACTGTGAAAGCCTCTGTAACATCTGCTGTAGATGCCCTGATAATCAAGTGGGCTTAGATTTGGACATTATCAGTAGGAATGGTTAAAGGCTGATGGGACCGTAAAGCAAGTACTTGAACTCTAAGATATGCCTTAAAGTGTTCTCTGTGTCCCATGTATATGTCTTTTCTATCTCAGAAAGCTAGGGTTTTTAAGTTATTGTTGTATCCCATAATCCTAGACACACAGTGAGCATTGAGTAATTGGCATGGAACTGAGTAATACTGAGTGGCAATTGTCATCTTAAAACGGAAGCATCAGATGATTTGGTATGATCAATTTGTAATTTATATCAGGTTTTCATGAAGCTATCTGTTCAGATACATAAAATGTATGTTCTGGCCATGAACACCAGTACTTAGAAACATTTACTTCTAAGGGGACAAAATGAGGGGGTCATTGATAGTTCATGGGATATTTATAAAATATTTACTTGATTTCCCAAAATGCTTAGTAAATATGAAATATTTACTATTTACTACCATAGTTCATATGGTAGAATGTCATTGGTAAAACTGTAGAAAGAAACCTTATACCTATGTTCCCTTAGTTAATCTAATATGCTGCTTATCTGAAAACACCTTAAATAATTAAAGTATTATTCAACTATCAGACAGGAGTAAAATAACACTGATTATATCTCTTAGGTACTTAAAACGCCTCAGTTTCTTTCTGACCTACTGAGCCAGTATGTCATTCTCATTATATGCTAAAACCAACCATCTTCTGTAACTCTGCTTCCTATTTCATACAGGAAGTAGCATGGTGAAGTGGACAGAACTGAATTTAAATCTTAGCTCTTTAAAAAAAAATGTTTACTTATTTTGGGGTGGGGGGAGTGAGGGTCAGAGAATCCCAAGCAGGCTCCACCCCATCTTGCAGAGCCTGACATGGGGCTCCATCTCAGGATTCTCAGATCATCACCTGAGCTGAAATCAAATGTCTGGAGGCTTAACTGACAGCCACCCAGGTGTCCCTAAATCATAGCTCTTAATAGCTAGCTAATTTAATTTCTCTAAGCCTCAAATTTAACTATAAATATGGGATTATAAAATTTGAGTGAAATGATTTTTAAAGTTTCTGACAGAATAGGAATTTTTTAAGCTTATTTTGTGGGGTGCCTGGGTTGCTCAGTCAGTTAAGCATCTGACTCTTGATTTCGGCTCAGGTCATGATCTCATGGTTCTTGGGATCGAGCCTAGTGCTGGGCTCTGTGCTGACAATGAGGAGCTTGCTTGGGATTCTCCCCTCTCCGTCTCTATCCCTCCCCCACTCCTGCGCATGTGTGCTCGCTCTCTCTCTCTCTCTGTCTCAAAATAAATTAATAAACATGAAAAAAAGTTTATTTTGAGAAAGCATATGCCCGTGTGTGCACAAGAGGGGATGGGGAGGGGCAGAGAGTGATAATCCCAAGCACACTTCGCACTAAGTGTGGAGCCTAACAAGGGGGTTGAACCCAGGAACTGTGAGATCATGCCCTGAGCCAAAATCAAGAGTTGGATGCTTAACCTACTTAGCCACCAGCTGCCTCCAGATAATAGGTATTTTTAAGAATGGTAGCTACTACTTCCGTTTCTGTCAGCTTATTTTAGTTAAACCCATCCTTTAAGGCACTGCTATCCAACAGAACTTTCTATATTTGTATTGTTCGGCATGGTAGCCGTTAGCCACACGTGGCTATTGAGCAACTAAAATGTGACTGAGGAATTTAATTTAAAATTTAATGGCTGTATGTGGTGTTACTTATTGGATAGTTTAATTTTTTTTTCTTGATGAGAATTTTTATTTATTTTTTTTTATGTTTATTTTATTTTTGAGAGAGACAGAGCATGAGCACTGGAGAGGCAGAGAGAGGGAGACAGAGAATATGAAGCAGGCTCCAGGATGTGAGCTGTCAACAGAGAGCCCGATGTGGGGTTTGAACCCACGAACTGTGGTATCATGATCTGAGCTGAAGTCAGATGCTTAACCAACTAAGCTACCCAGGGACCCCTTTACTTAACTTTTTTTTAAAGTTTATTTTGAGAGAGGCAGAGAGAGTGCTAGTGCAGGAGGGATAGAGAAAAGGAAACTCTCAAATAAGGCCGTGCACTGTCAGTGCAGAGCCCAACGCTAGGCTTGAACTCAAAAAGTGAGATCATGACCTGAGCCAAAATCAAGAGTTGGATGTTTAGCTGAGTCACCCAGGCACCTGTGAGGAGATCTTTTAAGATCTCTCTTAGCAACTTTCAAATAAAGAATATGGTATTATCTTAAGTGCAATTTTAAGGCTCATTCAAGATCTTTTTTTCTTCATGAAGACTTGTGTGACCAATGGTTCTTATTCTTAACATTGCTTGCTGTACCACTTTTTGGTACTTCCCATGGACATTAATATTCATCAGTCTTGTCTTTCTAACTAGATTGTATCTGAGGTTATGGATTTTTAAGTCTTCATATTGCTGTATGAAAAGGAACATAAAAATATATTATTTTTAGTTAGTAACTTTTAAAAAATCATTAAATATAAAACAAGAAACTTCCTAGTTAATAATTTGGTGAATAGGGAATAGTCTGAAGGTTGCCTGAAGTGATGAACTTTGTGTCTAGGCTGTTTCACCTCAAGGTTAGATTATACTGAATCCTAGGAAAAGGAAATTATGCTTTTTCTTATATTGCCATCTTGTGGTCACCTTGGGCTCTACATGATGCTAATTCAATTTTGCTATGTCAGGAAAAGTTTTCTTTAGTTTATTGTGATAAATTTTTACAAAAAGTAAACAAAATCAGTATTGTCTGAAATTAAATTGAAACATGCTTTGGAAAAAAGTTAACTATTTTGGATTACCTTTTTTTTTTTTTTTTTTTATGGGGCTTGAACTCAAACTTTGAGATCAAGTTGAATGTTTTACTGAGTCAGCCACTGGCCCAAGATTACTTTATTTATCTTATGAGTTACTGGTTCCTTCCTTCTTTTTTCTTTCTTTTTGTAATGTTTTTAACATTTATTTCTTTTTTGAGAGACAGAAACAATGTAAGCAGGGGAAGTACAGAGAGGGAGACACAGAATCCAAAGCAGGCTCTAGGCTCTGAACTGACAGCACAGAGCCTGATGTTGGGCTTGAACTCACACAGTGAGGTGACCTGAGCTGAAGTTGGATGCTTAACCGACCGAGCCACCCTGGTGTCTCTTCTTTTTTAATTAAAAATTTTTTGTTGTTGTTTATTTTTCAGAGAGAAAAAATGAGAGAGAGCATGAGCAGGGGAAGGGCAGAGAAAGAGGGAAACAGAATCCAAAGCAAGCTCTAGGCTTCGAGCTGTCAGCACAGAGCCTGACATGGGGCTTGAACTCACAAACCGTAAGATCATGACCTGAGCTGAAGTTGGACACTTAACCAACGGAGCCACTCAAGTGCCCCTTTTTTCTTTCTTTCTTTTTTTTTTTTTCTTAAAGGATTTTGTGAATCTAACGACTGGTTGCAAGTATTTTCTGTAGTTACACACCCTGTGGACTTGGAAAGGTTGGCAGTAACCCATGACATTTATACTCCATCTCGCTGAATTTGTTCCCATAGCTACAAAGCGGTGGTTGCAGCCAGCACATGCCTCCTTCCTTTTGCATACTGTTCTCTTATTGTGAGACTATTTACAATAACCTTTCAGAGTTTGGTGAGATTTATTGTACAGTTTTACCCAAACTTTTAAATTTATACAGGAAGCTGAGCTTGTATAAGAAGTCCTGCCCTAATGTGGTACTGAGTTTGAGCATTTCATGACATTCTCCAAATAGATGGGTCAATTTATATTACTGGTTGGAAATTGATATAAAGAATGAAGTTTTCCTTGAGGTTAATTTCCCTTGAGGCTATAGGAATATGGCTTGGGAATAGGCTGGGATGCATTCAAGTCCTGTAATCATAACCTTTATTGTTTATTCTTTATTTTCCAGAGATGATGCATTTGGAAAGATGATGCTCAGATAGTTGGTAGATTGTGTATTTCAACTAGTTCCTAGATAGAAGCTGATTCATTTGATACCAGAGGTAAGTGTAACAGAAAAGTATTTTTACTTGATTTGGATTTCTTCTAATCATCTACTAAGTTGTGGGGCTCAGTGTCCTTCGTGGCTGGAATTCGGCAGTTTGAAAAAAAGCCTTAGTTCTAACCTTAAGAGTGTTCTCCTAGTTAGAGACATGGAGCCTGTGGTGGTTTGCCCTTCATCTGTCACTTATAGTTTGCCATGATGAAATGCATGTTAAGTCCGTGTTTCAGCTGATCACCCTGATTAAACACATGCTCTGAGCAGACTAAAGCTAGGGCAAACACCTAGAATTGCATTCTGCTTCTTGGAATTCTTGGGATCTAGCCCTCCAGGCCCAGGTAATTCTTAAGTCTTTGAATTACAGATCTGACACTACAACCCTTCCTTGTGCTTTGATCTTTTGTGATATCTTCTTGAGATAGATAGAACCAGCGTCAAGAATCTTTAAACATTCAAACACTACAGAAAAAGTACTGATAACTGGTATAATTCTATCACTCACTTTACTTGGCAGAGTTTAACTAATCACTGTTTTATTAATTTATATATAAGATTAAGAGAATTTCAGAGTTGGTTCAGTCAATTTTGTCATAAAATTCAACACTATATAGTCACTTAAAGTTATGATACAGGTTTATCTTTTTTGAAATGGAAGGATATTCAAGATACATTAAGTTAAAAACAAGTTATAGAGCAGTGTGTATAATCCCTTTTATGCTTAAATATTTTCATATACTTATGTTTACTTCAGAAATTATCTGAAAGGATATACTCAAATACTAGGGATTATTGTTTCTAGAACTGGGTTCTAAGGGTGATCCTTTTAACCTGTGTTTTCTTACTTTATTTTATTCATGCATTGTATTAATTGAACCTACATGGAACAGGCTTCTATACTTTTTATCTGTGCCTGCATGCTTCAGCAGAGAATGGGGTACATCTGAGGGAGAAATCCAGGAAATGCAGATAATTGAAAGTAACATTAGTACTTGAAATAGTTTTTAGCTTTGGCTGTGTCTTTTTTGCAGATCTGAGTTTGCCTTCTTTCCCAGCTTGGAATTCTTGGGTGTAATAAGTCCTGGATATACAACAGATGATGACAGCATATTTCTTTTGTGGTAAGGCTTATGTTGAAATTGAGAAGCTTTGACATACATATGAATCTTTGAAAATTTCAACTTTGGGGCTTCATGGCCAGTTGCTAGGTTGCTACAAATTTAATTGATTAGAAAGTCAAAGCTGTTGAGAGGTAGCACAGTATAATAGATATGCATGGATTCTAGAGTCAGACTGAGTTCAAACCAATCCTTTGTCACTTAAACAGCTATGTAACCTTGGCAAGTTTCTTCACATCTCAGTGTCTTAATATCTTAGAAGATGAGAATGATAGTGCCAGATACGAAAGAATCGTACTTCACTTTGAAGATCAGATAATAAATTTGTGGCCTTAGAACACTGCTTAAGCATATAGTGATTGCTCAGATAGATACTACTTATTTTTTTTAATGTTTTATTTATTTCTGAGAGAGAGAGACCTCATGAGCAGAGGAGGGTCAGAGAGAGAGGGAGACACAGCATCCGAAACAGGCTCCAGGCTCTGAGCTGTCAGCATAGAGCTCAACGCGGGGCTCGAACCCACGAACCGTGAGATCATGATCTGAGCTGAAGTTGGACGCTTAACCGACTCAGTCATGCAGGCGCCCCATCAGATAGATACTACTTTAAAAAAAATTCTTTTTAATGTTTATTTATTATTGAGACAGAGACAATGCGAGCAGGAGAGGGTCAGAGAATGCCGGAGACACAGAGTCTTGAAGCAGGCTCTAGGCTCCTAGTTATCAGCATAGAGCCTGATGGGGGCTCAAACTCACAAACTCTGACATCATGACCTGAGTCGAAGTCGGACACTTAACCGACTGAGCCACCCAGGTGCCCCTAGGTATTAGCTGTTTTATCATCAAAGTCCATATGCATATTTATCTTAGACTATACTACCTGGCAGTTTCTGACATCTTTATCTCCAGCACATGAAGCCTAATTTAGTTCTAGAATTAGGCAAAGTATGGTAATAAGGACTATAGTATGTGTCTCTATGTAATTGTTCCAATAACATTTTCTTTAGTTGTTTGATCTTGTTTTGGCACCGATTTGTTTATCATCCTATTTTTCATTTTGTCTTTTAGTTGGAGCAGATGATACTTAATGGTTCATTTAGCTCTTAACTGACTTAAAAATTTTAGATGTAGTGATTCCTATTAAGAGTGACTTGAGGGGCACCTGGGTGGCTCGGTTGGTTAAGCTTCCGACTTCGGCTCAGGTCAGATCTCACGGTTCATGGGTTCGAGCCCTGCATCAGGCTCTGTGCTGACAGCTCAGAGCCTGGAGCCTGTTTCAGATTCTGTGTCCCTCTCTCTCTGACCCTCCCCCACTCATGCTCTGTCTCTCTGTCTCAAAAATACATAAACTATAAAAAAATTTAAAAAAAAAGAATGACTTGAGGGGCTCCTGTGTGGCTCAGTCGGTTAAGCGTCTGACTTCAGCTCAGGTCATGATCTCATGGTTCGTGGGTTTGAGCCCCACGTCAGGCTCTGTGCTGACAGCTATCTCAGAGCCTGGATCCTGCTTCAGATTCTGTATCTCCCTCTCTCTGACGCTCCCCTGCTCATGCTGTCTCTCTCTCAGAAATAAAAAAAATAAAAAAGAGTGACTTGAAAAAAAGAAGTGACTTGATATCTTTATTTTTATAAATGTTTGCTAAAACATTTATTAAAATGGTTAGAGATAAATTTTGATGGCTGTTCCTCTCACTGCTTGGAGCCTTAGGTAGTGGGATTTTAGTCCATCATAAATGTAAACTGACTTGTCTTCACTCAGGGCACCATGGGGATGGGTTGGCTGTCCGTTAGTGTCTTCTGATTTTTGCGGAGTCAAACAATTTACAAAGCAGGTGGTGATTCTAAGTTAAGAAAATGTACCTGTGATTGAAAAATAAAACAAAACTAATAATAAAACATAAGGATATAGTTTATCAAGAATCCTTTGGCTGCAGTAGTATTTGAATAGCACTGACCTCGGGCTATGAAAGAAAACGGTCTAGTAAATTGAGAGTTTCTGAAATGTTATACTCTGAAGTCATTCATGTTTACTTTTTAAGTTTAATCAGTTTTCTACTGATCAGTTTTCTACTGAGTGGTTGTTTACACATTTTAGGTTAGTATTAAAATGTCTTTTTTGGGGTGCCTGAGTGGCTCAGTCAGTTAAGCGTCTGACTTCGACTCAGGTCATGATATCGCAGTTCATGAGTTCAGGCCCTACATCCAGCCCTTGCTGACAGCTCAGGAGCCTGGAGCCTGCTTCAGATTCTGTATCTCCCTCTCTCTCTGCCCCTCCCCTGCTCATGCTATGTCTCTGTCTCTCTCAACAATAAATAAACATTAAAATTTTTTTAAAAGAAATACAAGAAAATTATAGTAAAATATTTCCTCTTATCATTTGTAGATTCTTTGCTAGATTGTAAACTCCATGAAAGCAGGAAAACTTTCTTATCTGTAACACTTGGCCTAGAATAGATACTCAAAAATATGTGAAGTGAAACCTCCATTAGATTTTTTTTTTTTTTTAAGTTCCTGGAAAATGGCACCCTTTTTTTTTTTTTTTTTTAATTTTTTAATGTTTTATTTATTCCCAGGAGAGAGAGAGAGACAGCGTGAGCAGGGGAGGGTCAGAGAGAGATGGAGCCACAGACTCTGAAACGGGCTCCAGGCTCTGAGCTGGCAGTCAGCACAGAGCCCGACGCGGGGCTCGAACTCACGAACCGCGAGATCATGACCTAAGCGAAAGTCGGACGCTTAACCGACTAAGCCACGCAGGCGCCCCAAAATGGCACCCTTTTTAATGGCATTTTGGCAAGACATTTATTGACATGTAATAATTGGGACTTGAATTTTGACTCTGATGAAAAATACACATATATAGGTACATTGTATACATAGATACACCTGGGTACCAATGAGTCTACTTAAACCTCTTAAATTTTTTTTTAATGTTTTATTTATTTCTAGGAGAGAGAGAGAGAGAGACAGCGTGAGCAGGGGAGGGTCAGAGAGAGAGGGAGTCACAGACTGAAACAGGCTCCAGGCTCTGAGCTGGCTGTCAGCACAGAGCCGGACGCGGGGCTCGAACCCACGAACCGTGAGATCATGACCCAAGCGAAAGTCGGACGCTTAACCGACTAAACCACCGAGGCGCCCCGAGTCTACTTAAACCTCTTAATACTTGAGGTGCCTGGCTGGCTCATCGTTCAGGCATGTCGCTCTTGATTTTGGTGTTGAGTTCAGGACCCAAGTTGGATGTAGAGATTACTTTGATTATGATGCTTGATCCTTTAAGAGTCAATGAAGAATGCTGCCAAAACAACCTAGGTATGTAAAGAATGATTATATAAGAGCTTCCTGTAATTTACTTATTTATCTAATAGTTTATTTATTTTGAGAGAGAGAGAGAACCAGCTGGGAAGGGGCAGAGAAAGGGACAGAGGATCCAAACTGGGCTCTCTGCTGACGGTAGAGAGCCCAATGCAGGGCTTGAACTCATGAACCATAAGATCATGACCTGCGCTGAAGTGGGTCAAAGGCTTAACTGACTGAGCCACCCAGGCACCCCAAAAACTTACTGATATTTAATAGGACATCTTTTATGGTGAGCATTTTATTTATAGCCTTAATTGGACTTTTAGAATTTGAAAACTATTTTTAGGTTAAGATTCTTCCAGGGACTCCTGGGTGGCTCAGTTGATTAAGTGTTTGGCTTCAGCTCAGATCTTGATCTTGCAGTTTGAGTTCGACTCCACATTGGGCTCTGTGCTGACAGTTCAGAGCCTGGAGTCTCCTTCAGATTGTGTGTCTCCCCCTCTGTCTGCCTCTCCCATGCTCATGCTCTGTCTCTCTCTGTCTTTCAATAATAAATAAAAATGTTAAAAATTTTTTTAAAAAGATTAAGATTCTTCCATTAAAATGCATATAAGTATCAAATTAGTTTTAGAGTAGATGATACTAACATTCTAAGATTCAATAACAGGGGAAATGACTGTCTTCAAATTTTTAGAGAAACGTGGCATATAAATAGTATAGCTGATACTTAGTTAGAATATCTACACAAGATCAATATCAAACTTTATGATAAAAAATCATTTTTGAGGGGCCCCTGGGTGGCTCAGTCAGTTAAATGTCTGACTTCGGCTCAGGTCATGATCTCATGGTTCATGGGTTCGAGCCTTGCATCGGGCTCTGTGCTGACAGCTAGCTCATAGCCTGAAGCCTGCTTCGGATTCTGTATCTCCCTCTCTCTCTGAGCCTCCCCTGCTCATGCTATCTTTCTCTCTTTCAGAAATAAAGAAAACATTAAAAAATTAAAAAAAAATATTTTTGAAACATGAAGATAACCTGTAATTAAATAGTATAAATGAACATTGGGGTACATGTGCTCCTATGCATCAGCATTTCTGTATCCCTTGGGTAAATTTCCTAGCAGTGCTATTGCTGGGTCATAGGGGAGTTCTATTGTTATTTTCCTGAGGAACCTCCACACTGTTTTCCAGAGGGGCTGCACCAGTTTGCATTCCCACCAACAGTGTAGGAGGGTGCCCGTTTCTCCACATCCTTGCCAGCATCTAGAGTTCTCTGATTTGCTCATGGGGGAGAAGAAGGGGGAAAATGGTGGGGGAAAGGGAGAGAGGCAAACCATGAGAGACTCTTGAATGCTGAGAAACAAACTGAGGACTGATGGATGTGCAGGGGAGGAGGGAGATGGGCATGGAGGAGGGCACTTGTGGGGATGAACACTGGGTGTTATATGGAAACCAATTTGACAATAAACTATTTGTAAAAAAAAAATAAAAATATATATAATAATCCAAAAAAAAAAAATAGAGTCTCATGGTTAAAAATAAATAAATAGTATAAATGATGTGTAAGCACAAATTGTACAATTTATCGAGATCCTTTTATTAGGAAGAGTGGATTAAAGATTTATAAATGAAAAGCAAAACTTTAAACCTATAGAAAAACAAGGAATATGATGATATTGGAATAGACATAAGCACAGAAAGGAAAGATTGATATATATTTGTGTACATTAAAATTCAGACTTAGGTTTGCATGCCATATAATCAACAAAGGACTCCATATAAATCTAAAAGTGATCAAAGGAAAATAATGAGTAATTCACACATGAGGATCTCTGAGTAGTCTGTCACCTGAAAAGATGCTTAATCTCAGTAGTAATCAAAGTGCACTTTAAAACATAGAGATGCCATTTTACTGCCATCATAAGGGCAAAAAATGAAAACAAGATTAAAAAATGACACTTGAGCATATGTTGCTGAGTCTGAAGCAGTGTGCTCTCATCTTTGCTGGTGCTAGTGAAATTTATTTGAAGTTCATCTATACATGAATCCAGCCTCTGGATTCTATAGGTTCTATAGGGATTCTTGGCATGAGTATTCAAGGAGACATGTACAGAAAGTTTTTTGAAGTGTTTTTAATTGTATAAACCTGGAAGGAATGTCTATTAGAAGAAAGGATAAATTGTAAATTTTTAGTATTTGGCTATTAAAATGAATTAGTACAAAGTATGTATATTAACTTGACTACACCTCAAAAACAGTTAATAAAATGGCAAAGCGATACGTGCTATAATAAGGTTTAGTGGTTTTAGGACATGCAAATGAAGATTGATCTTTAGCATGCATGAGAATGATAAATACCAAAATCTGTATTATCAAATACCAATATTTATTTACCTCTGGAGAGGTAGGAGGAAAATGGACAGACTTCAGTTATATTTGTAATATGTTACTTCATTAAAAAGAATCAAATTTGAGAAAGATTTCAGTTTATTAAAGCTGCATGATGGTCATTCACATTTTTTGTATGTTTGATACTTAACAATAAAAACCAGTATTTTAAAAAGCTCTTCTTGGTGGATGGGTCTTTGTATCTCAGCCTTGATTGATTTCAGTAATCTCATCCTCAGAAGCACTCTAGAAAAGAGCCAGTGAAGGCAATAGAGGGTTTGCCATAACAGAAGAGGACACAGTGCCACTAAGAAGCAGGTTAGTTCACTTCCTGGTGTTCCAGATTACTGGGATACTAAATCTTTGTAGCCTCCTGCCCCCTTTTATTCTGTCTGGCAAAATGTGTTAGCAAAAAAAACCAAAAACAAACAAAACACACACACACACAATGTGTATGTTATTCCTATAGGCTTTTAGCCAAATGGGTTGGAAATTTGAAACTGATTTTAGAAGGAAAATTGTGTGGGGAACACTAAAGTTTGGGGAATCAGTGGTCTTGATGAAGTAGGAAGAGATCATGTTGCAGTACAGAGGTAAGTTAGGTCACAAAGTTAAGTGCTGGTTGAATTTGAATGCTTTGTGTTTTTTAACTTTAAATTAGATTCTACCTTTTTGTTCTATATTTGGCAAAGTTAAAATCAGAAAATGTATAAAAGGCTCAGATCTGCAAAATAGATGTTAGAATTTACACAGACATCCACTTTTGTTTGAATCCAATTTGTAACACTAGAATTAAGTTACCACTCTAAACTCTCAGAAGACAGTTTAGGAAATGTATGCAAAGGCCAAGATGACCCTTTCTGATTACTGTGAACAAGTTACAAGTCGACAGAAAACTCACCAAAAGTTGTGTGATTAGGATAGGTTTTTGTATGAAGAAGAAAGGGTTAGTATTAGAGATTTACAACCCATAAAGGGGTTTTACAGTGCTTTGGTGTCAGGTGGCTGGGGTCACGTTATGTAGACAGGTGCAAAAGACAGCTTTAAGGCTTGTATTCTGAGGACCCCTCAAGCATTCTTGAGCTTAGTTTCTAATATGAATTCCAATCGACTCCTATAGATTGAGCAGAAAAACACAGGTTACACAGAACAGAAAAGAAATTGATAGGTGACATAATCAGGGTAAAATGGGCATAAATATTTAAACAGTTAAAAGTAGGTCCAGGAGCGCACACAGGCAGATCACCTCAAAAAAGCTGTGACACCTGATCCTCTCGCTTCACTTCAGGCGCTGTCATGAATGTTTGTAGCACAGATTATAAACCAAGGAGAAGTTCTGTTCTTAAATGTATATAGAGGATGTGTAAAAGCTAGAAAGATGATATACACATCTTTCTATAATGGCAGATCTAGAACGTGGAGGTGATAGCTATCCAGTTACGGGAATCACATTTCCGGGACTTTTTCCTACTTAGCAAGTTTGTGCTGCCCAGCTGGTCCTCCCCAAGTGCTCTAGGACAAACCCCTGTGTACTCAGAGGCCCTGTTAGCTTCTCAACTGCCCCTCGCCTCCTCCTTCCTCTTAAATCGGGAGACTATGACCTCAACTGTTACACCCAGGATAGCTAGGATGTTACTCTTCTGCCAGTTGAGGGCAGTGAAGGGCATTCAATGACCGCATCCATGGGGCTCCCTAGCGGAGAACCTAGACCACACTCCGTGAGATTCGCACCCTCACAGCGCCTGGTATGCGCCTGCGCAGAGAACACATGTCCAAATCCGGGTACTACAGCGTGACCCGTCCCAGGATCCTGAGCGGCCGAAGCCCTGTGCTCATACCGGCAGGCTCCGGGGCACCCCACGCACGCGCACGCGCTCTCAGACGTAGTGAAGACGCAGGGCGAGTCTTCGCTAGTGTAGTTGTGGAACTGTGGCGGCAACGGCGTTTTCCCGCGCTTTTTGTGGGCGCGTCGGGTTAGTTATTTTATTTATACTACTGTTGTTACTGTTTTCTCTATAGAGTACAGAAAGCAGGCCAATAACTCCAGAGTGACGTTTCCGTGAGTCCAGTTCTCAAAAACTTGGCCCTCGGTAACTTGGACAACTAAATTGGCCCTTTATTTACCCCAGTCAGGGAAAATTTGAAATTAGCTGCACCCCTGGCTTTGCCTGAGGAGGCTCTCAGCCTTAAAACGTCCCAGCCTTTTCTGCTTCCCCTATGCCTGTTAGCCTTGTTGGAGATAAAATAAGCCTTATAACCTCTGCTCCAAAGTGCCATTTACTTTTGGAGACTACCTCAGCGGGCACTTTTGAGGTAAAGGTGTCAGAACGTCCTCCTCGACCCCTGTGACTGAGGCAACATTCTTGACAGAATTTGTTGGTTGAGAGATGTGAATATTTTTCCTTGGTGTATAATGGATGTGTCACAATTATTTCATAACAGTATATAATTTTGATGTATCCAGAATATTGCTGTCCAGTTTGGGTTAGTAAAACAGCAGTGAGAGTGGACGCTATATTGAAGAGTAACTTAAAAGCATTTTTTTAGTTTTACATTTTTTTAAAAATTGCAAGTATAGCCTTCAGTAGTATTTATATTAATAGGTGAATTGTTTGATGATAAAGCAGCTTTCATATAGCTGTTCAGGTTTCATAATGGTCATTTGCTTGGACGAATTAAATGATTTTCCATTTAATACCATCAGATTACCACTGGCTTTTTAGTTAAGGCAATACAGGTGAAGAATCTGAGAAATCAATGTATTATGATAAACCTAAAAATATAACTTAAACACTTTGAAATCAGTGCTTAGACTTATGTCGGCCCTGTGAGAAGTGATACTAAAATATTCTGGCAGACTATGGATAGGTAATTTGGCTTTTTTATTTAGGTATTGAGGAATGGCTAAGGGTGTAATTAACTTTTATTTGTACTTTGTAAATGTTTAAAAGCTTTATTTTCCATGTACGTATTATTTTTGGCTTTAGTAAGATTTGGACCACTTGTGTCTAATTTTTTTCTTAAAATTTTTTTTTCATGGGCTTTCTAGAGGTTGACACAAAGGAACACAGTTAATATTGTTGAGTGACTGAAATCAATGTAATATATTGATAGTTACAAAAACAATAAAATACATTATTTTATCATAATAAAATGAAAACATGCTCTGCTTATTTATTATTTGTTTCATTTTCCACAAGTTGACTTCTTTGACCTTTTCATTTACCCCTTATTAGGATTCTTTTCAGCCTCTGGAGACCTCACTTTCTGTTATGTCTTTGTGTGAAGACATGCTGCTTTGTAATTATCGCAAGTGTCGTCTCAAACTCTCTGGTTATGCATGGGTCACTGCCTGCTCTCACATCTTCTGTGATCAGCATGGCAGTGGTGAGTTTAGTCGTTCACCAGCTATCTGCCCTGCCTGCAACAGTACCCTTTCTGGAAAGCTAGACATCGTCCGCACAGAACTCAGTCCATCAGAGGAGTATAAAGCCATGGTATTGGCAGGACTTCGACCAGAGATTGTGTTGGACATTAGCTCCCGTGCACTGGCCTTCTGGACATATCAGGTTAGTGCTTAGGCTAGTTTTTCTGGAGAGCGTGATTTGAGGCATGTGGAAGCTTCTAATATTTTTCCTTCACTGTGTTTGTATTATTTTTTATGAATATGTAGAGAACTTTCTTTTTAATAAATACTGTTTTCAAAAGTAATGTGTTTAGGGGCGTCTGGGTGGCTCAGTCGGTTAAGCATCCGACTTTGGCTAAGGTCATGATTTACTCGTTTGTTCATTTGAGCCCCGTGTCAGCTCTGTGCTGACAGCTGGGAGCCTCAAACCTGCTTCAGATTCTATGTCTCCCTCTCTCTGCCCCTCCCCTGCTCATGCTCTGTCTCTGTCTTTCTCAAAAATAAACATTTAAAAAAAATTTTTTAAGTAATATGTTTATTTTTGGAAATACAAAGGGAAGAAAATAAAAAATCACCCATAGTTCCATAACTCAGAGATCATTGTTGATATTTTTCTTTGTGTATTACTGGACTTTTTTGTGCATAAATATATGTTATATATATAAATACATATTTTGTCCAAAAGTAGGATAATATCAGTTAAAATTGACAGTGTATTATGACTACTACAGATGTTAGTATTTTTAAATTCACCATTTTATAATTTAATAGCTATATTGTATCATAAATTATTTCCAAGTTATAAAAAATGTGATAAGCATTCTTCTCAAATACACATATTTAATTATTTGCTAATATTAAATTCCTAAAAGTGGATGAATACATTTCAAAGTTTTGGAAGTTTAATTTTTAAAAAATTTTATTTTTAAGTAATCTCTCTGCTCAACATGGGACGTAAACTCACAACCCCGAGATCAAGAGTTGCGTGCTCTACCAACTGAACCAGCCAGGTGCCCCGCAAATTGCGGTTTTTTGTTTTTTGTTTTTTGTTTTTTTTTTACAATGTTTTATTTATTTCTAGGAGAGAGAGAGAGACAGCGTGAGCAGGGGAGGGTCAGAGAGAGAGGGAGTCACAGACTGAAACAGGCTCCAGGCTCTGAGCTGGCAGTCAGCACAGAGCCCGACGCGGGGCTCGAACCCACGAACCGCGAGATCATGACCTAAGCGAAAGTCGGACGCTTAACCGACTAAGCCACACAAATTGCGGTATTTTAAAATTGTCCTCCAGTTAGGCCATATCATTTTGTGTCACTTAAGTGTATGAGGGTGCTTGGTTCTTCATACCCAGTGAATAAAGTAGAATCTTGTTTAAATATGCATTTCTTAGATGACTTTTAAAAGGCTGAAAACATTATCTTGTATTTTTTCATGTAGTTTTTCTGTATGAATTACTTGCTGTAGTTTGCTTATTTCAGTTTCTGTAGGTTTTTTCCCTATTGATTGTAAGAATTCTTTCTTTTTTTTTTTTTTAATGTTTATTCATCTTTGAGAGAGAGAGACATTGCATGAGCGGGGGAGGGGTAGAGATCTAGGCAGACACAGTACCTGAAGCAGGCTTCCTCTGTGAGCTGTTATTAGCAAAGAGCCTGACATGGGGCTTGAACTCACAAACTGAGATCATGACCTGAGCTAAAGTCAGATGCCCAACTAACTCAGCCACCCAGCCATGCTGAGATTTCTCTATATATACTTAACTCAGGTGTTGCAAGATATTTTCTTTTTCGTTTATCTTTTATTAGTCTTGTGGGGTTTTTTGACATAATAGAAATGTATCATAATTTTTTTCTAGTTTATTAAAACCACTGTGATGAACACCCTTACTATCAAGTTCACATTCTTAACTCATGATTTTTGGCTTTGGTACCTCTTAGAAAGACTTTCCTGTGGAGAACTTTTATTTATTTATTTAGTTAGTTAGTTATTATTTATTAAATGTTGTATTTATTTCTGAGAGAGAGAGAGAGACAGCATGAGCAGGAGAGGGTCAGAGAGAGAGGGAGATACAGAGTCTGAAACAGGCTCCAGGCTCTGAGCTAGCTGTCAGCACAGAGCCCGATGGGCTCGAACCCACGAACTGTGAGATCATAACCCGAGCCGAAGTTGGACACTTAACCAACTTAGCCACCCAGGCACCCCGAACTATATGTTAAAGTGGCTTCCTATTTGGGGCATACTATTGATTGAACATGAATATGTGTTATTGTTTTCATTTTTTCAGATATGGTGGAAACCAGTGAATGAGTTAGTTAAGGTAGCCAGAAATAATTTTTATTTCCTATTTAGTTATTCAAATATTTTCAGGAAACATTTATATTTCATGCACCTTCTTAGGTGCTGAGTATACAGCAATGAATAAAATACATGAGTTTCAAGGAAGCTATGGTTTAGTGGTGATAAAGATTTTTTTAAAAACCCAGACATTTAGAATATATTTGTAATGTGTACCTTGTAAGGAAAATACAGAGTCCTGTGGGTCTACATAGAAGGGACTGGTAACCAGACTTGGAGTTACATCACACTATATTGAATGGGCAAATTAAAAAAAAAAATTTTTAAGGTGAGTACTCATATTTCATTTTTGTTAGTATTTAAAGGATAGTGCATCTAGCGATAAGCTAAGATTTGTGTCTGTATATAATAGTTGTATATGTGTAACAAATTTAAGGGCTTAATCAACAAATTTAGTGGCTTAAAACAACGTATGTTTATTATCTCAGTTTGTATAGATCAAGAGTTCAGGCATAGACTCTGCTTAGGTTCTCAAAACTATAATGAAAATGTTGACAGGGACTGCAGTCTCATCAGCTCAGGAGAGATCTGCTTCCAGGCTCATGCTGGCAGCATTTACTTCTTAGTGGAATGTGAAACTGAGGGCCTTATTTTTGTTGGGTTTTTTTTTTATGTCTTTATTTTATTTTTGAGAGACAGAGAAAGAGAGTGAGCAAGGGAGGGGCAGAGAGGGAGACAGAATCTGAAGCAGGCTCCAGGCTCTGAGATGTCAGCACAGATCCCGACACGGGGTTCGAACCCACAGACTGTGAGATCATGACCTGAGCCAACGTCGGATGCCTTGTTGTTATTTTTTTAAGTGACTTTATATTTAAAGCAGTTTTAGGTTTATAGCAAAATTAAGAGGAAGGTGCAAAGATTTCCCATGTATCTTTTGTCTCCCATACATGTATAGTCTCCCATTATCAACATCTGCCCCTGGGATGGTACATTTGTTCCAACTGATGGACCTACATTGATAAGTCACTATCGTGCAAAGTCCAGAGTTTATATTAGGGTTCTCTCTGTGCTATACATTCTGTGAATTTAGACAACTGTATAATGATATGTATCCATCATAATAATATCCAGAGTAGTTTTACTGCTCTAAAAGTCCTCTGTGCACTGTCTATTTATCCCTCCTTTCCCCTAACACCTGGCAAGCACTGATCTTTTTACTATTTCCATAGTTTTGCCTTTTTCAGACTGTCACATATTTGGAATCATACAGTTTGTACTTGTTTTAATTGGCTTCTTTAACTTAGTAATATGCATTTAAGTTTCCTTTGTTTTTTCATGGCTTGATAGTTCATATCCTTTTAATGTTAATATTATGTTGTTAGATGTACCACAGTTTATTTATCCATTCACTTACTGAAGGTTGCTTCCAAGTTTTGGTAATAATGAATACAGCTGCTATAAACATTTGTGTGCAAGACATGTTTTCAGTTCCTTTGGATAAATACCAAAGAACATGATTTCTGGATTATATCATAAGAGTATGTTTGGTTTTATAAGAAACTGCCAATCTGCCTTCCAAAATGGCTGTAACATAACATTTTGCATTTCTGCCAGCAGTGAAGGAGAGTTGCTTTTGCTCCATATCCTGCTAGTATTTGGAGTTATAAGTGTTCTGGATTTGGGCCATTCTAATAGGGGTGTAGTGGTGTCTCTCATTGTTTTAATTTGCATTTCCCTGATGACATGATATGGGATATCTTTTCATATGCTTATTTTACATCTGTATATCTTTGGTGAAAACCTACTAAGGTTTGTGACTGATTTTTAAATTGGATTATTTGTTTTATTGTTAAGTTCTAAGAGTTCTTTGTATGTTTTGGAAGACAGACTTTTATCAGATATGGGTTTTTTTTTTTTAACTTTTTAATGTTTATTTTTGACAGACAAAGAGAAGCATGAGCAGGGGAGAGGAGAGAGAGAGGGAGACACAGAATCCAAAGCAGGTTCCAGGCTCTGAGCTGTCAGCACAGAACCCGATATGGGGCCTGAACTCACAAACTGTGATATCATGACCTGAACCAAAATTGGGAGCTTAACAGACTGTACCACTTACGTGCCCCAGATATGGTTCTTTTTAAATATTTATATTTATTTTTGAGAGAGAGTATGAGCAGGGGAGGGGCAGAGAGAGAGGGAGACAAGAGGATCTGAAGCGGCCTCGAGCTTAAGAACCATGAGATCAAGAAGATGTGGTTTATCTATACGATGGAATACTACATGGCAATGGGAAAAAATGAAATCTGGCCTTGTGTAGCAACATGGATGGACCCTGAGGGTGTTATGCTGAGCAAAATAAGTCAGGCAGAGAAGGACAAATATCATATGTTTGCATGTATAGGAGGATTAGGAGGAACTTAATGGAGGACCATGGGGGAGAAGAAGGGGGGAAATAGTGGGAGGGGAAAGGGGGAGAGGCAAATCATGAGAGTCTCTTGAATGCTGACAAAACCTGAGGACTGATGGATTGGGGGGGGGGGAGGGAGGGGCATGGAGAGGGGCACTTGTGGGAATGAGCACTGGGTATTATATGGAAACCAACTTGACAATAAACTATTTGAAAAAAAAAAAAAAAAAAAAAGGAAGGTATTTTATTAAGAAAAAAAAAAGAACCATGAGATCATGACCTGAGCTGAAGTCTGATGCTTAACTGGCAGCCACCCAGGTGCCCCCAGATGTCTTTTACAAATATTTCTCAGTCTGTGGTTTGTCTTTTCATTCTCTTGACATTGTCGTTTGCAGAGCAGAAAATTTTAACTTTAATGAAGTCTAGCTTATTAGTTCTTTCATAGATTGTGCCTTTTGCTGTTGCATCTAAAAAGTCACCATTAAACTTAAGATCATTTTGATTTTCTCCTCTGTTATCTTATAGGAATATCTTATGTTTACATTAGTTCTCCGATCCATTTTGAGTTAATTTTTGTGAAGGTTGTGTATAGTTTTATGTTTAAATTCATTGTGACCTCAGTATTTTGCCAGCTGTTGCCCAAAGGCTGTGCTCAGTTACTTGGCCTTAGCGTTTGCATCATGGCTACTTGCTTTTACAAGCCAGCAAGAGAGTGTGCTACTAAGGCCAACTTTATTAAAGTCTTATGTAGCAGCATCCTGTAATTTTTCCTGTATCTAGTCATAGTTTCTGTCTATATTGTAGGGGAGGATCTAAGTACAATAAGGCAGGGATAATTGGAGGCTGTCTTATAATCTGTTCTTTGCACTATGGATTACTTGAAATATGAAATTTATATTTCTTTTTTTTTTAATGTTTTTTATTTCTAGGAGAGAGAGAGAGAGAGAGACAGTGTGAGCAGGGGAGGGTCAGAGAGAGAGGGAGTCACAGACTGAAACAGGCTCCAGGCTCTGAGCTGGCAGTCAGCACAGAGCCCGACACAGGGCTCGAACCCACGAACCGCGAGATCATGACCAAAGCGAAAGTCAGACACTTAACCGACTAAGCCACCCAGGCGCCCCGAAATTTATATTTCTTAAAGACTTTAAGACTACATGTCACTTTTTGGGGTTAGACAAATACTTCTTTTGTTGGTATAATGGTAGCAGTTTGACAATATTCCTTGAGTTTTTACTATGCATTTAGTGACATCCTGTATTATTTTCTATTCCAGTTGTACATCTAGATTCCTTCTTAACCTGGTTCTAAATGTTAAAATTAATAACATTCTGGTATAAATCTTTTGTTTTTGTTTGTGAAAAGTTTTATAGTATATAACTTTGTACTTTATTACCTTAAAAATCTCTTTTTCTCTCTCTTGGGACAGGTACATCAGGAGCGTCTCTATCAAGAATACAATTTCAGCAAGGCTGAGGGCCATCTGAAACAGATGGAGAAGATATACACTCAGCAAATACAGAGTAAGGATATAGAATTGACTTCAATGAAGGGGGAAGTCACCTCCATGAAGAAAGTGCTAGAAGAATATAAGAAAAAGTTCAGTGACATCTCTGAGAAACTTATGGAGCGAAATCGTCAGTATCAAAAGCTCCAAGGCCTGTATGATAGCCTTAGGCTGCGGAACATCACTATTGCTAACCAAGAAAGTACCCTTGAACCATCCATGATTGCACAATCTGGTGTTTTTGGCTTTTCATTAGGTAAGAAAGGACAGATAATATCCAATAACTATTCTTTAAATCTTTCACATTATGTTTTGCACAGTTCCAGGAAGTCAGTGGGGACTCCAAAGGCCTAGAGTGGTAGTAGGCTCTTCATCCAGGTTCTGCATCCAGTCTCAACATGTACATCTTTGCTTTTATCTATTTTTATTTGCTTGTGGTTAAGTTACATCTTCATCATAGAGAGTAAATCTCTTCAAAATAAGTTTGAAAATCGATAATTTAAGTGAAAAACTATTTCCTTGCAGTAATAATAATAATAATAATAATAATAGCTGCCAGTTTCTGATCCTTACAAAGTACTCGTACTTTTATAATTTTACATGTATTCATTTTATTTTTAAAACTTTATGAAGTAGTTATTATCCCTATTTTACAGATGAGAAAACTGAGGCACAGAAAGTTTAAGTAAATTAGTCAAGGTTATGGAACTATTTTCAGAGTCTACTCAACCATTTCCTATCCTCAAGAAGTCCATGTTTCATTTTCTTTCACAGGCCTATACTGATTGTTCAGTTCTTAAGTTATTGTTGGTTTGCTTTAGTGTATTTACTCATCAAATATTTAACAAACATACTTCATGTGCTAGTCTGCTAGACATAATTCTAGGCAACAAGAATATAAAGATTATGCAGATAGGATTCCTGCCTTCTGAAAGTACACAATCTAGGAAGATACCAGTTCTTTTCTGCTTGTTAGGTCCCTTGGCAGATGCAGTGAAACTCCAGTCTCTTCCTGAGTTCTCCCCTTTACACTATTCTTGATATAACAGAATATAATAAATTTTTGCTATGCCATTAGTATAAATTATTTTTGGAATGTAAAAAAGTGAAGTTTCCTGGGTTTCATTTTGAATTACAGGCTGAGGAAAAAGATTTAGTGGGGGAAGAGATCTAGAAAAGGCAGGAAGTAAGATGAAGAATATCAGAAATAAGAATTGAAACACAAACAAATTTTTGCTTAAATTTAAGTTGATCATAATTATAATTTAGTCAATTAAAATGTTATTGTATATTAACATTGTAGATATTTTTCCTTTTTAAAAAAAAAATTTTTTTTAATGTTTTATTTACGTCTGAGAGAGAGAGGGAGAGAGAGACAGAGTGAGCAGGGGAGGGTCAGAGAGAGAGGGAGACACAGAATCAGAAGCAGGCTCCAGGCTCTGAGCTAGCTGTCAGCACAGAGCCCGATGCGGGGCTTGAACCCACAAACCGTGAGATCATGACCTGAGCTGAAGTCGGATGCTTAACCGACTGAATCACCCGGGCGCCCCTGTAGATATTTTTCCTTATTACGATCCACATTTATTTTGATTTCTTTATATTCACCTTTTCTGTCCTGTTCTGTTTATGCACACTTACCTTTTTACTTTTACCTCTTTTTACAGCTGTTGGCTTGAAGCAGGTTGAAACTGTTGGCTTGAAGTCAGCATTCTCTTTTAGTTACATATTCCCTTTAAAATTTGTAGAAGCCAAAGAATGGTTCAGTGGAAATTGTTAAATGTTTATTTAATCAGATCTACTGTGTGATTTTTCTTAGTGTTATTCTAATCTTGGCCATGAGTATGTGCCAGTTTTTTATCCTTGCCATATATTTTCTATAGTGTTTATGGCAATCTTAAAAAGTAAATTAATCTAGAGGCTCCTGGGTGGAGCCAGTTAAGCATTTTGACTCTTGATTTTGGCTCCAGTCATAATCTCATGGTTGTGAGACTGAGCCCTGCATTGGGCTCTGCAGTGGGTGAGGATGTGGGGCTCGAACCCATGAATCGCGGGATCATGACCTGAGCCGAAGTCGGACGCCCAACCGACTGAGCCACCCAGGTGCCCCGACAAAAGGTTTTATACACATACACACACACAAAATTCTTTTGGAATAGATTACATAGGTAAATAATAAAATTATGAATTGTAAATTCTGACTTTTCTAAAAATATACTTCATTGTGTCAGATTACTTTTGATGATGAGGTCATAACTATTGAAAAGTGCATCACAGCAGAAGCTATAGTATATACTGTGGTTGGGGGAGGAACTGGGCGCTATCATAGCCCTTTTCTTTATCCAGTATTAAGTTTATATTTTCTTGTCTCATAGGATTTGTGTTCTGTTCAAATGTTTATTAAATGAATTTTGTCTTTTTGTTCCTAAAGATCTATAAACAAATGGATGCTTAAGTTTTTTCTTTATTTTTTTCCTAGGGAACAACTCCAAGTTTCCTTTGGACGGTACACCAGTTCGAAATCGGGGTGGTGGAGATGGAGATTTTCAGTTCAGACCATTTTTTGTGGGTTCTCCCACAGCTCCTGAACCCAGCAACAGCTTTTTTAGTTTTGCCTCCCCAAGTCGTGAAGTAGAGCAGCAGCAGATCTCCAGTAGGGCCTTTAAAGTGAAAAGAATTTAGCTCATTTTACAGAACGTTTCTCTGTTCACTATCAGTGGTCTCTTTTAGCAAATTATCTTTATTCTAGTTAGGGTAGGAGTCCCCATCCTCTGTGCTATTACATTTTTATGAGAAACTAAATGTCTATAGGAATGACTTTAGAGTCTGGTTTCTTTTTCTGTTTCCATTATTTAAGGGATGAGCATTATATTAAACTCAATTTTATTGTGAACTGTTTTCACAAGCAATGAAAAGGGTACAATATTATTGAGTGTTTTGTAGATCACCATTTGTTTTCCGTTTGGGTTATATCTGACTGGACTACATGTTTATGTATATGTATGTAAGCACCTGTGGTATATGTCTACATGTCACTCTGGGTTCTGGTATTTATGCATATATTTATGTATTTGACCTTGTATTAATTTGTTTGTGGAGGTGTGCTAATGTCAGTGAATGAGAGTACAATTTGATACATGTATGTCAAGTCTTATTATTTCTTTTTAAAATGACTCACATTGATAAAGTTATTTTGTAAAGTTGATTTTTGGCATTCATTTTAAAATGAAATTACTCTTTAACTGTTGCCAGCAGTTGCCTTGGGCCTATTTAGGAATGCACTCTTACACAGAAAACTTAAACAATATGTTACTGATCTCAAGAGATTATATGAATTAAAATACTTATTAAAAGTATTAAATTAAATACTTATTAAAGATTTATTCCTTGTTTTCCTTTATTAAATAGCATTTCTGACCACTGTCACAGATTACTTATTTAAAATGTGGAGCCAAGAGGCACCTGGTTGGCTCAGTTAAGCTTCCTGCTTCGGCTCAGGTCATGATCTCATGGTGCATGGGTTTGAGCCCCGCATTGGGGGCTCTATGTTAACAGCTCAGAGCCTGGAGCCCGCTTTGGATTCTGTGTCTCCCTCTCTCTGTCCCTCTCCTGCTCACGCTCTGTCTCTCAAAAATTAATAGATGTTAATTTAAAAAAATAAAAAATGTGGAGCCAAGAAAGAAATTTGAAGGACACTTTCAATTACCTTACATCCACTTTAGGTGTGACTTGAAAGCATACTGGTTGCAGAGGCAGAACATCTGGGTTTTAATTGTTTTTTTCCCCCATACATTGGTGGTGAGTTTGAATTTAAACTTTCTGGGAATTTGTTTCTACATCTGTAAAATGAAGGACTGAATTAAATTATCTTGTAGGCCTTTTCTTCCTCTTAAATTTTATTATTTTTATTGGTTTGGGAGGAATTACAATGGGATTACCCAAAATGCCAATCCCATTGTTGTGTGAGTAATAAAGTTGTACTGAAAGCATTTGAAGATGTTTTTATATTTAGTTATAGAAAGGCAAGTAAATACCCTGACTTCACATAATTGGACAGCAAGCAAGTAATGTTTTCTTCCTTAGTAGTTTAGAATATAACCTCAAAATCTTTTTTATTCTATTCCAAAGTTAATATGGCATCTGAGAAAGAGGATGGAAAATCCTGACTTAAAAGTTTTAAAAACCCTCTCCATATTTCATAACTGTTAACATGGATTTTATAAATTATGTTACAAAGTATTTTTTTTCCTTATGCAGTTTTAAATTTTGTTGGAAAATGGTTTGGGGAAATAATTTTATGTATTTCATGATTTCTGCCTTGAACCTTTGCTTTTGTTAGGTTCACAGGATCAGTTTGAAATACAAATAAGCTGGAGCGCCTGGATGACTTAGTCCGTTAAGCAACCGACTTCGGCTCAGGTCATGATCTCACAGTTTGTGGGTTTGAGCCCCGCAACAGGCTCTGTGCTGACAGCTAGCTCAGAACCTGGAGCCTGTTTCAGATTCTGTGTCTCCCTCTTTCTCTGACCCTCCCCTGCTCATGCTGCCTCTCTCTCAGTAATAAATAAAACATTTAAAAAATTTTTAAAAAGAGATACAAATAAGCTATAATTAAAAAGTAGAGAGACTTTATTAGGACTATTACACGCTACTTTAAAAAGTTACTGAAGAGTTTACTATGTTCACATGGCACGAAGGTACAAAAAAGTATAGAGTGAGATCCCTTTCACTCCTGTTCCCCAGTCACTTCACTTTTCTTAAAGCCGCTGTTGTCAGTGTCTGGTGTCTCTTTCAGAGATAGTCTATGTAGAAGCAACTATTATTTTATTTAGAAATTGTGTTTACCGGGGCGCCTGGGTGGCTGTATTGGTTAAGTGGCCGACTTTAGCTTAGGTCATAATCTCATGGTTTGTGGGTTTGACCCCGAGTCCAGCTGTGTGTTGACAGCCTGGAGCCTGCTTCAGATTCTCCTTGTCTCTCTGCCCCTCCCCCACTCACGCTCCTCTCTGTCTCTTTCAAAACTGAATAAATGTTAAATGTTAAATAAATAAACATAAAAATTATGTTTATTTCTGGGGTGCGTCGGTAGTTCAGTCAATTAAGAATCCGACTCGATTTTGACTCAGGTCACGATCTCATGGTTCCTGAGTTTGAGCTCCACATCTGGCTCTGTGCTAATGCCTTGCAATTCTCTCTCCCTCTCTGCCCCTCCCCCACCTCAAAAATAAATAAATATTTTAAAAAACTTTAAAAATTATGTTTGTCTTTAAGTAGATAGTACATGTACATAATCCAAAAGTGTACACAGCAAAAGAATTTTGTTTGCCCACTGACCACTCTTGGTCCCCATTTCCCTTTACAGAGACAGTCATGGTTTCTTATGTATTCTTCTAGATATAGTCTGACAATATATTGGCATTGGAATTAAGAATGTTACAGCTTTCATGATACCATCTTGAGCATAGTGGGCTTATTAGGATAGTGTGTTCAAATGATAAAATCCCACTCAGAAAATAAGTTTGGAAAATAGACAAATTTCCTTCAAAATCTTAAACTTACAACACAGACTGAACACTGTCTTATCCTGTCCTTTTTTTGGCAGGAGAAAGTGTATTACAATCTTGGTATACATAGAAAGATAGAGAACAGAAGTGCCTGGGCGTTTCTGTTGAATGTCAGACATTGGCTAGTGTCATGATCTTGCAGTTTGTGAGTTTGAGTCCCACATCACCAGCTGTTAGCCAGTCAGTGGGGAGCCAGCTTCAGATCCTCTGTCCCCACTCTATCTGCCCATCTTCTGCTGGTGCTGTCCCTCCAAATAAATAAATAAATAAGAAAGAAATGGAACAAAAATATACATGCAATTAAGCTGAGAGTAGTTTGTTTCCAGGATTTGGGAAAGAAACAAGTTTATGAACTCAAAAGTGATTATACAGCACCTCCTTTGAGCTACAGGCATCGGGTTAAGTTGGTCTGGCCTGGTGCCTTTCCTTGAAAACCAACTCCTAATTACCCTTCACACCCTCCTCGCCCTCCTTGCAGACACCATGCTCTAGTTTCTGCTTGGATTTACTTTTGGCAGTGTGGTTGGAATATATATGGCTCAGAATTACGACATATCAAACCTGGCTAAAAAACTTGAAGAAATTTTAAAAGAACTTGGAAGACCAGAAGAAACCCTCTAGTTCATGAGGTAGACTCCAGCCCTGACTTCTGGATTTACTGATTCTGCTGTTCATAAGGGCCTCCTTGCCATCTGAACCAAAAACTTTTGTTTTCAATTCCAGCTTCAGGCATTTTTCTCTGTTCTAGACCCTGCATTGCCTTAAGGCACAAATGGGGCCACAAGTTAAGAAGTACCCTTTTCTGGGGCACCTGGGTGGCTCAGTGCCTTAAGCACCCGGCTTCGCCTCAGGTCATGATCCCATGGTCTGTGGGTTCCAGCCTGTGTCGGGCTCTGTGCTGACAGCTCAGAGCCTGGAACCAGCTTTGGATTCTTTGCCTCCCTCTCTCTCTGACCCTCCCCCACTCATGCTCTGTCTCTCTCTCAAAAGTAAGTAAACATTAAAAAAAAAAACAAAAAAAAACACCCATTTCCAACATCATCACCTCTGCTTTTCCTCCTTTCAGCCACTTGGGGTGCCCTAAGACTGGAGATATGGTGCTAGATTAGTAAATGTGACCTTTAGTAGTTTCTTCTTTATTCTTTGGGATTTCTACTACCATTTTCTTGTTTTTAAAGGATGACTGTTGTTTAGCTGATCAGTTATAAAGCTGATTTCACAGCTTAGCAATTATAATGAATGTTTATATATTTGGTACTAAATGATGTTTTTTCAAACTAATTAAAATTAATGTCCAGAAGCCAGTTACTCCTAAATTATCCAGCTGTTGTCAGGTAGATCCATGCTTGCTAATTTAACCAGTAAGTCATTTTGCTACCCGTTAACTGAGAAACTATATTCTGAGAACTCTGTCAGAACTAGGAAGTTTAAAAACGGGTGGGGCGCCTGGGTGGCTCAATTGGTCAAGCGTCGGACTTCGGCTCAGGTCATGATCTCACCGTTTGTGGGTTCGAGTCCTGCGTCGGGCTCTGTGCTGACAGCTAGCTCAGAGTCTGGAGCCTGTTTCGGATTCTGTATCTCCCTCTCTCTCTGACCCTCCCCTGTTCATGCTGTCTCTCTCTTTCTCTCTCTCAGAAATAAATAAAAAACATAAAAAACAAATTTAAAAAATAGGTAAAATAGGGGCACCTGGTGACTCAGAGCATGATCTCAGGGTTTGTGAATTCGAACTCCACATGGGGCTCTGTGCTCACAGCTCAGAGCCTGGAGGCTGCTTTAGATTCTGTCTCCCTCTCTCTCTGCCCCCCACCCCAGGTAAATAAGCATTAATTTTTTTTAAATATGTAAAATAATGGTCTTTGTCCTCCGTAGAATTCATAGTCTGGTATGCATGCTTTTCCTTAATGATGTTTTTGATTTGGCTCCTTTCGCTCAAAAGAATCATATTTACTTTAAGGGATTACAGGTACATTTAATATTACATGATAGATAAGTGACAAGTTATCTACAAAGAAATTTTATGCATTTTCACATTAAGAAATGTATTTACATTATAACTTTATAGTGATTCTCATAAGAAAATGAGTTTTTTCGTTTTTTTTTACCCTGCAATCATAAATAACCATTTTAGTTTGTCAAATGTATAATTAGTCCATATTTTTAAACATAAAAATAATGTTTGGATACATGTAAAAAAAACCCCGCAAAACAACCAGCTCCTCTATTCGGGTGCATGTAAGCCTCCAGCGCCCTAGATGTCGCTCTGGCTTCACGATGAGGGTGGGCATGAGTCTCTGTGGTTACAAAGTTGGGGGCGGAGAAGCCGAAGAGTGACTGGGAATGATGGCTGATGAAGACGAGGAAGTCAAGCGGATCTTGCAGAAATTGCAGGTGGGGCCATAGATTAAAATCTATATGTGCTTTTGTTACTCGGGAAGAAGCGGGGAGCCCAGTTTGTACCGTACTAGCGAATTCCTTGGCGCATGCAGGAGGCTGCATGTGTTAGTGAGGTTACTATAACAACTCCTGGCGGCTCACCCGCTGGCGGGGAGGGGAGCCTCCCCCGTTACGGGAGGGGCACAGCGGTGTGTTGGGACCTCCTGCTGCTGACCTGCGTGCACTCAATTTCAGCCCCCTTTGGAAGAGGATTTTGTTGCCCCTAAATTTATTCTTGCCCACTTCCATGGAGTGTTTTTTTTTCTCGGTTCACCCATAACGGATAGTATACACGTGTGTATAGCCGATCTGCAGGAGCTATTATCATGTATTGTTTTCATTCCCA